TTCACTTCATCTATAATCCCAACTCACAATTTCTGATCTTACTTGGAATTCACATCTTTCCTGTGACTCAAGGGAACTCTTGGCAATGTGGCATAGTCAAAATTACATTTCGAAGTTACACGCCACATTGTCATGGTTCGACTTCCGATCATGTGCTGATAAGGCCTAGGCGAGGTCGAAACTGCATTCCACCCTGGATGAGAACATATGGGAGAGCAAAACTATGCGAAATGTAATGTGGAAGGAATTAATACATTGCAAAGAAAATTTGGGTTTTGAGGAATCTCTTGCTTCATAATTGTTGTGCTTACTTCCATTTTGAGTGAAAGTGTCTGCTGAATGGATTCGAAGGTCGATTCCACCAGAAGGCGACCGCGTTCTGATGCTGTTTACGAGGTAATCTTCTTCGATTCGAAGTTGGCATATGACCATAACTAACCAAATCACTTTTTACCTGATCAGAGAGGCCAGATATAGAGTATATATATATCGCTTTTTATGGATTTGCCGGTGAGTTTTCTTGACGCGTTAGCTTGAATTTGGTTGTGACGATGTTACCTTGCTCTGATGATATTCATTATATGACCGACGAAGGCTTAGCCCCTTTTCACCTGAATCAAAGGAGATTAACTCGGAAACAGCGTCAGCATGAATGTTCCTATAAAGCCAATCGACAGCTGGTCAGGACGGATCCGCCATCGTCTTCTGGTGGATTCGACCTTCGAATCTATTCACCAAACACCTTCACTCGAAATGGAAATAAGCACAACAATTTATAAATTCGCCGCATCGGATACCAGATGAGGGTTTCCTTAGATTAGTAACTGTTGAATTGTGCGAAGAGGACCTTTGACCACAGTCCTGTGAACCCGATGACTCAATGTTAAAATTTTATCCGTCATATGATGGACATAACCAAAGTAACAAACCATTATTTATGAACAATCATCAAAAAACCTTAAGCCAATAAGGGTAGCCTGCTGAATTTCCCCTTACTTGTGGTTTTAATGAGATAATCTATGATATAGTTGGATATTTTGTATTGCAATAAATGCATATAGACGAGTATCATTTCTACATGAGGAGGAGCAGATGTGGTCACATCTTTTCTTTATGTAAATCAACTGAAAATCTGTAATTATGAGGTTTGTTTTAGTTTTTCAGATTGGAATCTTCCTACTAAAATCGCCTTCTGTCGCCTTCTCTCACCTTCCCTCGCCTTCCATTAATCCCTCAAGATGATATTCTTGACGATGTCTCTTCCCTTTGTTTGAGTTATTTCCGTGCTCTACAAGTGTTCCACTGATTTAGCTGAAAAATAATAATTTTGTTCAAGTTTGCTAAATGATTAGGATTCACTATCGTCTTGCCTTTCATATTTCAATCCCTTATTCATTAAGTTCCTTTGGATAAAGCTTTCCATGGCATCCCTAAGCTTGGGTTTTCGGGTATTTTATCTGTACACGGCAGATATTTCAGTTTTATTCTCACTGATGTTGCAGCCTATAAATACAATGCAATTCCTATTTTTCGATTTTTTGAATCTATGACTGTGCATAATAGCTAGTATTTTTAATCCTTATATTAATTATTTGTCCAGTTTATCCAATGTACTGTTGTGTTCTGAAGAAAGACGTGGACTGTCTCCAAAATATAAAACGCTTGCCCTTTATAACATCACAGATGAAGGCACCGAAACAAAGAGAGTAAAGGAACTAATAGTATTACCGAGTGTCCTATTTTCAAACGGCCGAATATCGTATGGGAGAGGTAAAAATAGAAAGACAATCATTCAAATATGGCGCCTAATAGGACATTCTAAACCTCACGGGACATGGTGGAACGGAGAAAGAGAAGGAAAAGAACATGATCTATTTAAACAGAATGTTAGCTACTTAATACACACTTGCGTAGTTTTCCATGCCAACTCTCAGTTGACGATGCGGTGCCAAGCTTTGTATATGCAACGCGAAGTAGAGTAAAGATTAGTCACTTGATCTATGCGCCAAAATATGTTGGGCCATGGCTACGTATGGGATGTAACATGAGCTAAACATAAAATATGAAAAGTGTAGGGATAGGTCACTACACAACTTATCAATGTGGCAATGTAGGCAATCCCCTTGTCCACTCCCAATTTTGCTTACCTTTGAAGAACTATTTGGCCATTCAATTTTAATGTCCTGTCCAACTTTTCTTCTTCATAATCTCTTTATGAAAAGAATTATCGCAAATATTTTCATTTACTCTTCCGTTTTTAATCTTCCGGTAAACCCTCAGAAACATCTACAACTTCTGCCAAAACGTTTTCCATATATAAAAATCCATATTTATATTATCATGGTACCAATACTTATTCCTAGTAGTGGCGGAAATTTCATTATACACTGGAGTAATTATCTCTATATTGCTGAATATTATATTGAAGTTTTATTAAATCTTTCATTCTATAAGCCCGAAGATGTGAACATATCGTAGCATAAACCCAATATTATATCCTAAGTTCACAGGCAAGTGATCTACCATATATTAGGCTTCCTTAAGATCAATCTTCAAAGTGAAGGTTAAATAAACGTCTTTATCTATAGTTAATATCAATATATAATTATTATAAGTGAGAGTATACTAAGATATGATCATTAATTTGTGAATTATTCGTTTATTTAGTTTTGTTGTGTAAAGCTGCTATCAAGGACAGATAGTGCGAATTACCATATTTAAATGAGT